TAACTTTAGCACTAGAGACGACACGGTTCGATTGCTGTTTATCTGCAGTATAATTACATGCTGTATTGTGCTTAGATTTTCTCGGTGAATGATGCATTTACATTGCATGCATTAGCAACTGCACTGAGTAGGTAGGTAGTACATAGCTGATTAAAAGCTTAAATTTGTTTAAATGTAGATTCGAAATGAAGTTAATAGCCTTTAAACAATGTGTATTGAAATTAAGTTACTTTTAGACTGCAGCAAGTTCGGACAATTTTAAAATTCAAGGCTGTGCCTTGTGGTAATTCCGCAATTAGTCATACTTAATTTGCACAATCTTCGCGCAAAATAATGTTAATAATCTGAAGTAGTCTTTTGAAAACTGCGGTTTGCATGCCTTTGCACAAGCAATTTGTTAATTGATATACCTACCTAACTTAATCTGTGCATTTAAATACATATATGTTCGCCAAATTCAAAAAACGCGAATTTGCTATACATCTTAACATTTTGTTCTGACAAGATAGTTTTGAGGTGAGTGTGTGCGGCGCTGACCGTTATGAATTCATGATAAATTCTTTAAAATGCTCTATGCTTTGCAGTATCTTATATAATTCTATACCGTATGACGTACCTATATAAATTACCTCATTTTACCAAGGTTGGAGACTTTTTCCCTGATGAAGGAGGTAATGAAGACATTAATTAACACGTTTATTTAGGTATATATCAATTATATCTCCAACGAGTTTTTCCCTGGTGTACAGGGTGTAGCATCTAAGACTCCTCGGATCATAATTACTCTTTCATAAAAGGACCGGAGAAAATCTTGGAGCGAAATTGTGCACAATTACTGTCGTCATGTTTCTAAAATGCCTACTACTATGCTTCCTCTCATTCTCCAACATTTTTATCCCTTGCGTAGATCAGGTGATCTGTTTAGTCTTCATTTCCTGGCGACATTATATACCTTCTCTCCTTACTATTCTAAACTCCATGAAACCCGATATACATATTTGATGTATGATTTTACTGAACCTAGTACTATGATTACACGATCAAATCTTATTTTCTTTAAAGCCTTCATACAATTTCGAACATTCTGACCCTCTATTTCTCCATACCAAATTACTTGGAATTTTGCACTGTGGCTGCAGCGATTCATTTTGCCTTGTCTTCTTCTCCTTGGATATACTTTGTTGTTTAGCTAATTTGATGCCGTACATTTCTCTACTTTTGTGTCTCCTGAGTGGGTGAGGAAGGTTTGGTTCTTTAATTGTTTGTTATAGAAGATTCAAAACCAGTTAAATTGTACCTATATTTTAGAAAACTTCATGAAAAGCACGACGTTACTTATCTTAATATGCGCATTGGTTGATCTATTAATTGTTCAGTCAATGTCTCCTCAAGTTTTAATTACACTTTCAAGAACGAATTTTGGATCTCATAATCTGCGATGCGTTGAAAAATAAATTACATCTGTTGATGGAAATATTATTCAAAATATTTTTTTTTTAATGAAACCCCGTATAGTTGTATATGTAGTAGGAACTATGCCAACTTTCTTATTAGTAGAGCTACGGCCTACGACGTTGGTAAAATGAGCAAATATCAAGCATTTTTAAGATTATATTGAGAGAAACAACTGTGCATTGTGTTATGGAAAGATTCAACAAAATTAATTATTTTTGAAGGGAATGCTCGAATGTTTATTAAAGATTTATTAACTTATATTGAGTGCGTTGTAGTTTATTTACTAGCTATGTTTTTTCCAGCGATTTCCTACGCTCATAAACATTACTCTCTGTCTTAGTTTTTCATTCAGAATTTCATTTTCTTTCACATTATTTACAATTACCCAGGGTGTTCCATAGTAAGTGTTATTTCTATAATCTAATCAAATATCAAAGCTGTTGCGCCCACCAATAGCTAAAATTTCATTTGTAGTGGCGATTCATTACGCATCCAGACCGTTTCGCTCTCACTATGGTGTCGCCGAATTTGCGCGGTCAACGTGGTTCAGGACGATTTTGTGCCGAGACATTTTGGACGCCGGGAGACTTTGGCGCCGCGAAATTATACACTTAAAAACTTAATCGTCACTTGAAGCTTATCGAAACATGAAAAAAGTTGCCGGTATTCTCAAATATTCTATTTTTCCCCAAAATAAAAAATATTTAAACGGCTTGGGGTCATTGGTTTTGATAACGCCGCATAACCTGTATTACTGAAATATAAATCTTTAACGGAACGTCATTTTTAAATGTAGATAAATATAAACCGATAATAATGGTCTAATATCTTCAATCACCGACGCCTAGATAGTAACTAAAGAAATGAACGTAGATTGACATTTGTGTAAATATATACTTCCCACACTAGCGTGTTAAATTACTACTTTTCACATGCATTTGCATTTTGGGTGTGGCAAGCGCTACTTTTCGATTTTAAATGAGAAAAATTTCATCTTTTTATTTGAGAGGGCCCTAACTGTTTATTCCTAACGCCATGCCAAGCCGAATGATCAGTCACGCGTCACGCCGCCAACATATCTATGTGCGTCAAAGTGTTTCGGCTCCAGGCCACGCAACAATGTCCTACACCGCTATGAGATTCCATTTTTAAAAAACTCGCAAAGTAAGACTGCCATGCCTATTCTACACAATATATAATAGGATTGTATACATGAACTTCCAAGTCTACTGTAGGTGCATGAGACTCAGCTCACACTAAATAATATTGAGAATAATGTCGATATTATTCAGTGGCGCATTAAAATGGAGCCCTTATTAATTTTTTTGTTCTACGCCCCGGAAATCGGGAAGAAGCATGCAACCTTGACCATTATATCTAAGCAATAATAGGAATATTTTTTTTGATAGAACTCATCAAAACAAAAATATTGAAATCTCGATTGAAATACTTGATTTGAAATAGTCGAGGAAATAGTTTTGGGTATGAGACCCAAAACCAGACTGCGAAGTCATGAAAAAAGACACATCTCGAAATGTATTGTACACGACTTTTTTTGCATCTAGTGATCCTTAATAACCCATAATTGAATAATATATCATTGACATGCTTTACTTACTGCCACTCAAAAATAGTTATTTATGTATCAAGGGCATTAAGGCGTTATTTATGCCGAAGGCGACAGACGAGGGCCTCTGGCCCGAGGGAATGTGAGTCGCCCGAGGGCAAAAATCGAGTAATGCCTGAGTTCATGGTTCAATTGATGCAGCCCGCGACAGCTTGGTTAGCAGAGGTCCGCAGAACTTGGTCTTGGATAAAGACATCATTTGAATATGCCAACACTAGAATATGCACGAGTTAAGCCCTGACGATACATAATCAAAAGTGGCTATGGCAGTTCAGTTCATAAGTGGCCGAAATGATAAAAAAGCACTATGAATGTTGAATCGACTAGGGTGAACGTTTGGCATTGCGTATATTATACCGCTCATGATGAAGCCCAGTCAGTTTGAACTTCATGTAATTCGGTCCATAAATGACCGAGATTACAAAAAAGGCACTGCGAATGTTAAACCGATTATTATTATATTATGACCACACTATCTTTATACAGTCAGTCACTGTAGGTAATTGAAGTATATGTCAAACCCAAAACGACATATTTGATGTTGAAAAATGTAGGTACCTATGTCTTTGCTGTACAAACGGCCAACTTTTAAAACCAAAAAGTTACTAAAACAATACTACAATGATTCCATTGTAAATTTGTAACACTGTGTGTGGTCAAAACAAGGAAATAGAAAAAAGTATAGCTTGTATTGTTAGACGTAGGTATATTTACTTAAAAGTATAATAATAAAAACAAAGATATAAGAAAAAATATCAAAAACATTGTTTTTGCAAAATAGGTAGTTACTTACCTTTGTAGCCATGCATTTTTTCCAATCAACAAAGAGTACATTCAATTAAACTGCAATTCCTTCCTCTCTCCGTACCCTCAAGTCTCCAACGTCTGAAACAACTTCGGAAACAATCTTTGTATTTGCATTTATTTGGATTGTTTAGTGACAAAACTACGATAAAAAATTTTAATTCTCCCTTCTCTTCGAAAGCTTAACAAGTGGCAGTGACAAACTGCTGTTTATTTTGCGATTACCCTTGAAATAGATCGTAGAAAAAAAGAGAAATTATTAAAAGGACATTGTTCTTTCCATGGTGCCCATAATTTTCAGTAATACGATTTTATCTTACTTGTGGAGTATAGAATGAGTCAATGGATTTAACGTATTTTAGATGACTGGCCTCTGTTATTGTAGATAGTCCTCTTTTTGATTTGTTTCCTCAATTACTTCCTTTGTGTTTATAATTTGTTTATTAACTTTTGCAACATCGGCGTCGCTGCTTAAACTGCAGTTCAGAGCGCAAACGAAAAAGAGCTTATAGGTATAATGGCGACCGTAATTGATTAATTAATGTGGGTGCAAATTATACTTGCAAATTTTGTTTAAGACGATAATAATTTTGCAGATTTATAATAAATGAGCCTGCTATCAATATTAGTCGTACTGAATATGTATTTATTTACTATTAAAAGAACAAGCATTCGATATTCCGAAGAGTTTGTAAGGGAGCTCAGTTGAAAGTTTTACGATCGATGCTGACAGTTTTAGGTGGTTTTAGGTCGCACTTTCTTATTCAACGAACTTTTTAAAATAGACATTGAGCAAAATATAAATATCATTTCATTTTCTTTATATCAATGTGTATGGGAATTGCACGGGTTGAGAGGATTTTGGGAGCGAAACTTTTTTATCGCATTAAATTCGTAAATGCCATATGTGAAAGTTGCCGTCACAGACCGACAGCTTAGTAGATTCGTTCAGGGAATAAACACAAACGCCTCCGATATTCGTAATGCCACTGTTGTTGCTCAAGGGAGAGGGCGGGGGACGCATGAGCATAGCGTCGTGGCGCTTGAACACAAGTGCGGGATTACCAGCGTCGGTCCAGCAGCTTCACTCCAGTGTTAGACGGATTCGCGCTTGCTTCTTTACGTTCCGTTTACATTACCTTGTGTCTGCAAATATCGTATATGTAAATCGTAGGATACAATATTTACAAACGTTTAATATATACCAAATATAATCGCCCTTTTTCAATATGCTATGTACATTTACTTCTTAATAAGAACTATTAAAATACCGCAATTTTCCCGCCGGATTCTACGCCAAGTTGTATAAAGGTGCAGGCTGTAATAACGTAACAAAAACCTACATATTGGACATAAATTATCCAACCCGTTTCCATCGGTTAATTTGTCATTCAAGAAACGTTTCGACACAAATCAGCGAATACTGGAAAAAAACTGGTCGCGGTAGACTATAGTGATGAAGACGTCAAAGTGCTTTGTTACCCAACAATGAGCAGAGATGATCTGCATATACAACTAGAAAAGTTTCGTCACGCGAGAACCATTACTAAGGTCCATCCCGTGGCATAGCACTCATTGTTTAGCATGGAGGGGAATAAAGTCATATTCCGTGAAGTGACATTTGGGCATTAATAATAGCAGGGCAAGTATACTGATACGCCGACGTTATGACGAGTGAGAGACCTCGCGCTATTTTCATATGTTGGACAGTTTTACAAGGCCGAGACCGGTGATAGTTTCCCATCATTTACTTTAATCTGGAAGTTTCAAAGGACATGTGTGTTATCTCAGTTTTAAATATTCTCCATAAGTTATTTCTAATTTGACATTAACGGTGTCGTCGAACTAGAAATATTGTTTATTTTGATTTATGCCGTATTTTTCTTTGGGTTTCCAACATGATACGTCGGAAACGAAAGTGAGCAAAAATTGACATTAAAAGGTAAGCTGAATGTGAATGTGAATTTAGGAGTAAACCCGAAAAAGTTTCACCAAGATACGAAAAAAGGGGATGACAAAATTTAATTTAATCAATTCATTGTCGCCTCGAAAAGCATAAATCATTATGAATCCGTTGTCCGCATGTTTTAATTAAATATTCGAGATTGATAAATGGGCACCCATTGTCTGACAAAATATAAAACATTAATTACAGTTCATCCTCACCTACAATCGAGCGGTGTTTATTGCAAATTTGCAAAGCCTGCTTGATATTCAGGCCGTAGTTTGCGATTCGCGTTGCTGTCGATTTCAATTAACTTGACCAAAGTGTAGGTAATACGCGTGTCGAGGACTTGTCCAAAATTTATTTTCGAAAGATATGCACCGGTTTATTTTAAGATTACGTCAACGATGTGTTAAAATCCTACCCGATATAATTAATTTTTCGAATTGATGCACAAAAAGTCGATATAAACTGGTCCAGATTCGAAAGAGCTTGCTTGAACTACTGCAGAAGCCATTCGCGGACGTGATAGTGTGATACCAATATTTATGACGGTCGTAAACGAGGGATTAGGGCTGAAGAAATAGTGCACGGTGCTTATAGCTGATCTGTCTCTTGCGGCCGATTCTTAAGCTTCCATCCCATTCTGATTCGAAACTAAAGGTTTCCTGCACTTAAACAGCATTATGCATAACAAGCTTTCTAAGATTACGAATCACGTGGCGGTGCATCGGATGCGAAGGTTTATGAATCTCATGTTAATTAATTGACATTTACGGAGGAATTTTTCCCAATAATTTATAAAGGACGGAATTCCTATTCGTCAGAAGTATAATAGGAAAAGTAATAAGGAAATAGTAATTTGGTCAAATTTTTCTTATGCTTGCACGCTTCAATTAAAATTGTTAGGATACTAACATTCCAGCCCCCATTTTTCAAGTGTCATCTCGTCATTGTAGTTAATTGTGCTAAATTGACGGCCACATCAAAGTGTACTAATCTCATATTTATTCCTCTGAATAAGACCACGTTACCAATGGCCGTCTTTTAAGGTCCAAGATTGAAACAATGCAATGCAATAATCATACAAACGAATTTTGGTTCAGTAACCTGCAATAGTAACATAAAATTTTTAAACTAAATTAGGTATACCTAGTGTTTAGTGTATATATTTGGGTCGTAAATCAATTTTTATAAAGTGTAGGTACTTTTCAACTTTCACTCCGGAGAAGCAATTTTTGGTCTCTTTTTACCCTCGTCTAATTTGGACTATTGTAAACATAAAACTTTTAAAAGTTTTACAAGCACGCGTAATAGCAACCTGGGGTGGCGGAAGAAACTTGTATTTCTTTACATAAACTGGGACATTGTCAGCTTATTCACAAAGCGAATGAAAAGAAATGAAAGTTTATTCCGAGGCTTTTCATAAACTTTTTCGTTTAAAAGTGCATTTTTTTTCGAAAGTAAAATATCTTAATGGCAATATAAAGGTCTTCACATTTAAATTTTAAATTACTAACTGGTTAATTTGGCATTTGCAGCAAGTTTGAAGTTGGGCATAAACGTGGGGGTTCGTACCGAGCGAAATGTACGAAAACAACTTTACCTTTCTTCCTAACGGTCGCATTACCTTTAATTTATGTAAAATTTATAAATTAACGAATTAATTAGTGCCAGCCAACGAAGTCGTATATGGACAGATGGCATGGCCCGATCCGGATAGTTAAGGAAAGACTATTATAAGCTGTCAACGGCTGAGATGCCTATAATATTTAACTACCAGTTTAACATTCAGTTCTTTTTCTATCGCCCACGCGTTGCTAATAGCTAAGCATGTGGGTTTGATTTACATGTAAGAAAATACAACTAGATACCATAAACTTCGCCTTGAATAATTTTTAGTAAGTGCATGGCATAGATCTGACAAATCCTGAAGTAAAACATAATATAATAGTTTCGGGCTATTTAGTAGGTAAATGTGGCTACAACGAAATCAAAATGAAAAACTGGTAAAAAATTGTGTAGGTACCTATAATGTGTTTGGGTTTTGCGTTTTAGGACCCCACACGTGATGTATAATTTCAGCGAATATGAAATAATGTTTGCTGTAGCAATAACATTTGTTTTACATTGGGTGGTCCTTTAAGAACAGAGGATTTGGTGCAAATTATAAATTAGTCAGTAAGAATAATGAATGAATTTATGGTGACGCATCACTTGAATTAAATCGGAAATTACATCTTATTAATTGTTTTGTTATGCGCGGATAACGTACCCAATCGTCAGTTTCATTATTTACCAGGTAGTAGCACTAACAGTTTTGTAATGTAAGGAGGAATTTTGTCAATCATTTCCAGAGCTACCTATAAAATGCGCTCCGATGTCTTTTACTTACACGTTAGTTTTATTTCCAGTATGAAGTACTACATAGGTATAACAAATGCTGATGGATATTTAATTTTCTGGCCTAATTATTACAAAAAAATCGAATGGTTATAATTATAATAAAGGAAACAATGTAATCATTTTCTGTTCTTATAGCACATACCTCTATTAATTGGCACATTTTAAGCCAGAGTCGATAATATGGCAATGATGGGAAAAATTGCAGATTTTTTGCGCTCAGAAAATTTGCGCGTCGAGTTCCAGAACATTCGCCGTGTGAAATTTGCTTCCTAAATATTGACCTTCAATTGCAAAATCGCTTCGGAACATTCGCCCCCAATAGCACTCGGAAGATTCTCACACAGCAAAGCTTGCCCTTGGAATCTTTCAAGGAAACTTGTTTCCAAAGAAACTTCATCGTCACAAGAAGATCAGCATATGAAAAAGTTAGCTCACGCTTAAAAAAAACTTTCCTTCAGGTTCAGGAAAAATGACCCTTAAGGAAACCCACCTTTGAAATTTCTCCGATTTGCTAAGGGAGGTCCGGTAACCATTTTACCTAGACATTCCTTGAAGTATCAATATCCTGTTACGCTTTACAAACATTCCTTACAGATTTCCTAGTGCGTTTATTGGTAGCCACATCCCGGTCGGTTTGAGAGTTGCTCTGTATAGTGTATATTATTATTACCTTACTCTCTTTTGTAATTAGTAATACTGGTTCTGTATGTTTCCCTTTCGTTAATGCTTTTGGCTTTTATAGTTTTAGACATTAGCTTTTTCTGAGTATTGACTTCTGAATTCCTTTCATAATGTTAGTTTTTTATTTGATTGAATCTCTACTTACATATTCTTTGATGCTTGTATTCCCTTTAGCTGCATTTTCTTGGTTAGAATTTCCATCTCACATCAACACCGTTTTTAATTTTCTAATACCCCTCTCTTGACTATTTTCCCTGGATTTAGTGTACACGATTTGTTTGCAATAGGTATCCGATATTTTTTATCCACTTTGTATTTGCTCTTTGTGTATTCCTTTTTCCACCTTTGTTTTATGAATTAAGTATTTAGAACTAGGTGTCTGGGAACGTTTGCACAATGTGTGCAATACTACGAAACAGTGACGGAAACACAGTTAAAAAAATTAGAAAACGTTGAATTTTTGTTGAAAATAAAAGTAAAGGTCGCCCGGACGCCCGCTTTTCCCAGAAAAAAGTATCAACTTGATAGAGACACAAATCAAATATAATAGTTTAGGTTAAATGAGAAATGTTTTGCAGTTTGGTGTACGGATCAAGATTCCGCTCAGAAAATTGAATTTTTTTGTAGGTAATTATAAAAGTTATGGCAACAATATAATATATCGTTTCCTACTTCAATAGGATACACTCAAAAATTCGGTCCAGATGGTGGACAGTGACAACATGAATAACAATATTCTTTTGCTAAAGAACGCTATATTCGATCTTGACATAGTTAAAGAGAGTTTTTTTATTATCTTTTGAACCAGTCCAACAAAAAGTTTTCTAAACGAAATTTTAGTCAGTACATAACACTGCAAAACTTGACCCACTTAGACACACCAAAGACCCATTGCGCTTACCACCTTTCTTTCGCAACTAGGTTCACAGCCCGCTCCTCTCAATAAAGGATAGGACCCTGTTCAGCCTAAGATGCTACACCCTCCCCGGTTCCAGATAACTGTCGCCAAGGAGCTGATGTTTGCCACTGATCAAAGCGCCACAGCGACTGACCATATGGCATATACTCGGTAGTTTCATCTGGCTCGCCACAGAACCTGCACATGCGTTCTCCTACAAGTCCAATGTTGTGCAGCTGATAGTTGACCATCCATTGCCCCCACCGATGATCTTTGTAATCTGACTTCTATTCAGTTTTAGAAGCTTAGAAGACCCAAATTTGCCAAGGGGCCCTATTAAGAAGGCCCTGAATGGCCCAGTCGCTTGTTGCCACTGAACCCAGAATTAATCCTGGCCCTGATAACGGAGGGAACAATTCCTAGGGTAGGTTGGGGCCCGACGAAACCCCATCATTACTTTCGCGAACTAGCTTGTTCGCGCTTATTCTGCAGTGCGCTGGCACACAGATCAAGCTTACCAAATTACATCCACCTAATCTATCTACAGTTAGTCTACAATCAAGCGCCGTAGCCGTTCCGAACCTGTCTGCTGACGGAGGCCTCAGCGCCGCCCTCTCTGACTGTCACTTCATGTGTATACAGCAGTGTTTCTCAAACTTTTTTGTCTGGCGGCACACTAAAATTATTAAATATTTGCGTCACACCTAGTATTATTATTTTTTTGCTTTTTTATAGTTAGTAAAGATATGAAGGATAAGAAGTCTTTAAAATAGTATATTGAAAGACAAGTGTTACAATGCGACCTATTGTAATACGACTATCTTGTGGCACGAGTGGCGACGCGAAGCGTAGCCACGAGTGTCCGCGAGATAGGAGTATTGCAATAAAGCATTGTAACACGCGTTTTTCATACTATTTTTTCTATTTCGGTGCTTTAATTTAATTAAAAAAATCATTATCAAAAACTATAGGGAACATTAGAACTAACATGTTTTATGTTGGGAACACTTTT